AAAGAAAGGCGATATCGCACTGTTCAATATAGCGGTCAATCCGGCTGATGAGCCACAATCTGATGTTCGAAAGAGTACTTAAAACACGATTTCGAGCGATTATAAAGTTGTCATCAATTGGTGGGGATTTGTAAAAGGCGCCGGTACTGCTGACGCCATCCACATTGTACGGGTATTCATGGAGAAATATGGAGAAACAAAGAATGTAGGGAAAGCTTTTGACAAAGTACCTCATGATGTCATATGATGGACACTGTGAAAGCACATGGCTCCAGAAGTATATATCCAATGAATAAGAATGAGTGCAAACTGTGGCAGGGCAGTCAAAACCGTTCCACATAAAGACCGGCGTACATCAGAAATTGGTGCTTTCTCCTCTGCTCTTCATCACAGTCTAAACGTTGTGACGGAAGCTAGAGCGAAAGCCTCCATGAGCTCTCATGTATGTGAATGATGTGGTGTATATGACAGAAAATAGAAACGAACTTGAAGATGAGGTAAAAAGTTGGAAGGATTTGCTCTAAAACGAATCTATAGGGTTGGGGTCGTGCGGCTTGAAGCTCAACAGAAAGAAGACAGAGTATATGGTAGGAGGTTAAACTCTAGAAACCATATACATCGATGATGAGCCAATCAAGACGAGTACTTTCACATTGAGAAAGTCTCAAAAGGACTTTAAGATAAGCTATCGGCCAAGACAAACGCAGCTGGATGAAATGGAGAGCCTTCAATGGAGTTCTATATGACAAGCGAATGCCAGTGCAATTTAAGTCCCGATTACACCCTGCTGTGATTCGTCCTACAGCGCTTTATACAGAAAATGAAGAACACAAGCTTAGTGTCATGGAGACAACAATGCTGCGCTGAACAATGGGTATCGCCTTGCTGGATCATGTCTGTAACGACATAGTTCGAGCCAGAATGAAAGTTGCTCCGATAGCCAAGAAGATGCAGGAAGAACGGCTGCAATGGTACGGCCATGTGCGTAGAAGAAATGAGACCCATAACACAAGAATGGCAATATCCTGGAGGTCGCTAGAAAGAGATCACAAGGAAGACCAAAGATGAGGACAGTTAACCCGTACAGCAGATCCTTCGAAAGCAGGAATGCGAAGATAAGAAAGAATCCATGGGTGGCTTTGATTTCCATGTCTTTTTAGTCACGTCATCTTTAATCAACTTCTCTTGCTTCAATTATTTTTTGTAAAAATAAATATTCTGCATGGTCTGAGACCAAAAAGCTTGTTGTGTAATAAATCCCACACAAAAGCTAATAGGCAGCTCTATCATAGAAATTTTACTCGATTCGCTGCATTTCTTGTTCATATCTTCTGATGTGCATAAGAACGCATCTGAGCATATCATCTGCGTCTGCGGTAGTAAACAAAAGCATAAGAATGATCCCAGCAGAGGGAGGAACCGTATCCTAGACAAATAAGATAACTTCTTGATTGTTTGCGCTTAATCCACAAGCAGTACTTGTGGTTCGCACATACACACAGACGACAGGAATGATGGTTTTTCGGAATTGAAAATAATAAAATTTATAAAGTTTGTTTCTAAAATAAGTGAAGATTACCGTTTTATAATTCAATAGATTACAGCTAGCGTGAATGAATGAAGAAGAGCTCTAAAACGAATCTATAGCCATTCTGAACGAAAAGGACAGAGAATATAATTGAATTGAGTAAAGAAGTTCTTTGAAGACTCAGGGTGGAAACATAGTGTCTATATTCAGTGTTTATGACTTACAAACTTTATTGCAATCATAATCAAAGACTCTGAAAAGGGGCAGAAAAATAACAAGAGAAACCAGAGTGATCGGCTTATGACTTTAGTTCTATGAGTATTGAAATAAATAAAAAAGCCTGCAAACACTTAGTTCAAACAAAGTCATCCAAAGACGTGCAGGAAAGATCTTGTGCTTGAGATTTCGCTAATCCTTTACGATGGTAACAAAGCATTAAAGACATTGAACAATTTGCTGAGATTATGACAAGATTATCACCAAAGTTCGCTTATTTAAACGCAAAAATGTTCCAACATTTTCATAAACATTTAGCCATGCATAGATTGGGTGAGCACTTTGAGTGGCTCATTGTAAGTAGGTAAAACACGACCTTTGCTTTTTCTTGAAAACATTATATTTGTAGCTCAGGCAATTGTATAAAGGTCATCCGTTTTCTACTACACTTATCCTTTAATTGAAGGTTCTTAGCTCCGCGGCTGCTAGAAAAGAAAATGTCTAAATACAAGACACTACTATATTGTAGGACTATGGTATGCTAGCATTCACATCTAAGTACAGTTTATAGTTAGAAAAAAGATTAGTTTCATCTCTTGGCACATGCAGGGGAAAATTACATTTTGGAAACAGTTTTCATAGTGCAGAATACTTGGTCATAAGCGCACTCATCGCTCGGTTGAAACCTGTGTTACTACAATTCACTGCGTCACCAAAATTGGTGATTATTGACATATTAATGAGATATTGACTTATAAAATTTATCTCTGACCATGACTTTGCCAGGGTATGACAAATTAAGAGCTCAAAAAATTTGAAACAATAGAAGCTAGGTACCGCTACTGAAAGATGGGATTACGGACCATACACGGACTAGGTTCGTTAAAAAAAATTTTTTTCCCATAAAAATTTTATTGCCCGCAAGGGTTTTATATAGCGGCAATCATTCCACAACTTAGACCTTGTGGGTAATTAGATCATTTATTGTCTAACCAGTCCATCTGCATTACTTTTGAGCGATTATCAGCGTGTGATCACTTTGTGGATTATTTAACCCAGCCAGTTAGCTTGG